TTCTACAAAATCAAACCATTATTGCTGGGCTCCTATGACCCAGGTATGTCGAAGAAGATCAGTCTTGAATGATATAACTGGTGCAACTTTCTTACCGGGGGATCTCTTGCAAACCCAAGGAAAAATTCGCGATTGATTTTCAGCTGATTAATGGTCTCCACTGTTTCGTATATCTGCAATAAAGAGACACGATTGCAACACTGTAACATGGCAATTGCTTGAATGGGGGAGCAAGTCTGGCACAGTGGAAACTGGACCATTGTCAGTGAGCCAAGGACAGTAGCTGGGTCTCTGAGGATGCCTGCCTCCTGGACACTTCTGTGGGTTAATTTGTACCTAGTTACTTGGCTTCGCTTCCTAAGGTTTTCTCAGTAAACTCCAGTTTCATCCCTCCATAAAACCAACATTTCTGAATTCTAAGCAATCTAAGCGCCACAGGTATCTCGGTTGCAATACAGTTAATTTGCTATCCTTGTTAAACAAAGTCAACTTATTATAAACCATGTCATCTTTAGTTGCCAGCAGTAAAGTTTAGAGTACACTGACATTTTACAACAGTCAGCAACGAAGAACTCTTTTTATTGCTATCTGCCTACAAATTAGCCTCCTATGCAGACATTCTTTGGGCTCGTCACGTGGGGGAGAAGGATTGCGTGACAAGGGCAAAGAGCATCTACTTGGAGGAGGCTACACTGTACTTGCAACTAAATAATAATTTAAACATTACATATACAACTATGTACTAGAAAGAAAATTGCCAACTACTACCTTGTTGTCGTAAGCAGAAATCTCATTTTGGCTGGCAGTGGAAAGAAGGAAAGACTGCATCTGGGCCTTCAGAGTGTCATCCTAACACAGGGTAAAATAAAACCATACATTGAAAACAGCAGAAAACATGCACTATTCACCTCCAGCTTGAATTCTCTTACCAGAAATATTTATAGAACTTGAATGAAACTAGCAACTTACAACTTCTACTTCAATATCATAGCAGGTTGTTCTCTTGTTCTCAGGCGTATCCTTGCTGTAAAGAAACAAAAAGAACAAGTCAGTACTCACAACACAAAATAAACCAAGCTTATTGAACCATGCTGACAAAAGATTTCAACATCACAAGACATCGTAAAGGAAGTCATGCTGCAGTCATTACTTTGCAAATCCAACATCGCTAAACAATGATCAATTTTTAACTAATTCATTCACTCACTAATTACATTTTTCATTACAAGTACAAAATCACAGTACGGCCTCACTGATGTGGTCCTACAGGGGAATCTTTGATCACAATATCTGCCTCATTAGCATAAGCCTGTTAGTAAATCTGATCAAGCTGCAAAATATCTGCTTGAAAGGATATGGCATACAAATTTAAGCCCAAAATTCAAAACTTTCCAACAAAGTCAAGCTCACCATATGTAAATAATAAAATACTTATTATTAGGTCAGTCCACGCAGAAAATTATACACATGTATCACTCAGTCATTTTCCACTGCACTTGGTCCATCCCATGACCTTGAGCTGATATTTCCTGTCTGCCTCTGCACCAAGTCCATAAGCTCATTTCTCTTACCTTATAAGGTGATGTATCACAATAGGATCAGGTGGTAGTAACAAGGCACTTAGACGCTGAGGAATCTCACTAAATTTCATGCGATTGCATTCAAAAATCTACAAAAGAAAGCAAAATTTTTCTCCCCATCAGTTCTTACACTAATTACAAGTTCATAATTTCTCCCTAAGCTTCCAACACAAAGTCAATGATACAATGTACCATGTGGCAGTAAATTTTTGTGGGAGTTTAATTTTGCAAATCAACATTTTTTTTGTATTTTGTGGGAACTAATTTTTGCAATTGTAAAAGACTGATTTTTCTCGCTGGGTATTAATTTTTGCCATTTTTGGGAAGTCACATTTAATTGAAATATTAAAACATTTTTGCATTTTTTAATTAAGCTGCAAGCAATTGACAAGTGAAACAACATGTAGCAATGTAAAACACAGCAATCCAGTAATGAGTGTCACTCTATCACAATTACGTTGCACTTTTGTGTGGCTGATGGCAGCAACAAGATTCTACTCAAGATGTTTGTATGTACAATTTCGCCAGTGGAGTTAATTTTTGCGAGAAAATTTTGGAGGGAATTTTTTTACTGCAATTTTTTTTTTTGCAGGACCTTTTCTTGCAGATCGTGGAAAAACTGCAAAAATCGTAAAAATTAGAACCTGCAAAAATTTATTGCCACAAGGTATGTTGTTTAAGAGAATAAAGGGACTAAATATTAGGGGGAAAGTACATGTTATATATTGTCTGAATAAAATTTCTCTTAAGTTGCACTGTAAGAAATGTATGGAAGTGGGTCAGGGGAATTTGCATGTTGATTTCAGATCTCACCTGTTGGAAGTATCTGTCACAGTTAATGTATTCCCGCTCATGTGAATCTTGCAAATTATGACTCTAAAATTCAAAGTGTAGAAAAATATTAAAACAAGAAAATTCCTCCTGATTATTCAAATTTGCTACAACAGGGATACAAAAAATTAAGGAAATTCTTAAAAGTATTTACAAAACTAAAAAACACATTTAGATCAAAATATCTAAAATTAATATTGTTGATGTTTATGGGTTTTTTGAGCACCTAAAAAGGAAATGTTGTATGATTCATTATAAAAAATTGTTTATAGAAAGCTTATCAAACAATACCTACACTGTAACTGAGTAACACCATGTTTTTCACTGAGGTATTTTTTTTTATAAGCTATTCATATGGAAAATTGTAAGTGCAGTGTCAGATTAAATCGCATACTGTAGCATCAAGACAGACAGAAGTTAAGTAAAATAGATATACTCGATGGACTTTCTTTCAAAATATTCGTGCATTTCCAGTTGACTGTCACCAGCCTTGATAAGCCTTCATCATCCCATACTTGTAATATAAGCCTGGTGCAGTGCTGCTCACCTTAATGTATTGCCATATGGCATTGACAATCACTGGTCTTGTTTGAGTGTGGATACCCATCAGTCGAGCTAGCCTGGGATCAAGTTTGTACTGGGGGGGCTAATACAAAAATTCCATGTGTCATAATCATAGAGGTGCAACTGAGACCCCATAAACTTGCCATTATGCATTGATAGTCTTGCTTGGATACAAGTACTGGATAAGTTGCCAAAACAGCAAACACACTATGCACAATCTAACCAATGTACTTGTTCTATAATACAAAGTTGTTGTTGGCGTCCATCTCTCTCAGGAGACAATGGAACTCTGCACCATGATTCAGTTCATAATACAAACTACCAGTACCCTGTTATTATATAATGACTATAATTTATTATTGAAATTAGCATTTTAAGTGATATATGTGTATGGTTTATTCCTAACAAGAACATCTTGCTCTCGCAAGCAGTGCTAATCCATGATCAGTAACATTTCAAGAATATAGTTTTTATCTTTGCAACTTTATAGCAAAAATATTTGTCTCTGTTTCTTTACCTGGTAATCCAACAAGAACATTATGGTACATTTTACATTTTCCTCTCCTGGTCTTTTCACCTTGGAAAAGAAAACAAACATGTTCTCCCTTCATTGGGCCAGCTCAACAGTAGTACATCAATAATTGATTTATAAATGATATTAGGACTTCTTAAAATAAAATGTTTAAATAATTTGAACCACTGGATTTTGGATAAAGTGCAAGCAGTATGTGGACAGGTGTCAGTTTAATGGTGGTTCAGTTCAGTGGGAATTATGTGCATGTCCATCTACATGTACATGGAACTCTATGTCACGTCTTCATAACAAGTGACCAAATCTTGAGAAAAATAATTATACTTCATTAGTATGGGTAATCACATGGCAAAAAAAATTGACAAAATATGTGTGAATGATTTCATACACGTTTTGTCGAAATTCAAATAATTTCTCAAGCCTTCAGGCAAACAAGAGATTTCCTCTTAGAAGGTGAGGTTTCACAAATACTCTAGGTCTTTGTGGTGACATACCAAGCTGGAACATGATCTTTGCTTAAATCACATCTTATACACTGAACATGAAAGTTAATTGTGTCTACCACACTAAAATGAACATTCAGTAACAGTGCAAGCCAGACTATCATACACATACCTGGAAGCCATCTGTTTCTTGGGTTGAACTTGTTCGATGCCACTGGACAAAAAAAATATAATGAATAACTTTGTATTTTATTGTAATTGAGAAAAAATTACCACTGAAATGAAACTTTTTGATCAATCCTAACTGTAACTTGTCAGGTTCCCCATACCTAGTTGCAACATGAACTTTGTTACAGTGTTATTTACCTCAACAACATGATTATCTGGTGCTTTGTACCCTGCAAAAGGAACTTTGTTACAACTGTCTTATTTACCTCAACAAGGTGATTATCTGGGCCATACAACTCTCTGTCCAACTCAATGACAAGACTCTTGAAGTAGGTAGAAAACTTTCGTTTCTGTCTTGGGCCATCTGTCTTTGGGGGCTGAGTCTGAAGAAAATCACTCATTTTCAGTAAAGCTAGAACAACATGTTTTCTTTCATGAAATCTCCTGTTGCTAACTAAGTGCAGACAGCTAAAACTTATTTGGCAATGTCGCATGCTCTGTCAATTTGGTTTGTTATTGTATATAGTTAACGCACATAAATAAGAAAAAAAATGGATGTTACTGTTCAAATTCAGTCTTCTTGGATACCTCTTCCAAAAGTCGACCTTCCACTCTCAGTTCCCATGAAGGAACAATGTTTTCTTCATCCTGTAAACACAATTAACTAAAAATGTAAAAGAGGTCTTACTATCTGGATTTGGTATTATTTAGGTGCTCATTAAATTCATCAGTTTAGTCAGACAAAACAGATTTGGACAATATCCATCAAACAAGGTGCAAATCTACATTGTAATAATTTTATTTTGCAATCTAAAAATTCTATGCATTTACAGTAATTACATGTATATCACAAGTTCTAATATTCGATTTTAAATTAATCTTTAATTAAAACATAGTACAAGGGCTGATGAACCACTATAATTCTTTAGAATAAAATAATGATGTGATGATGAATAATAATTAATAATAATAATTTATTGATTTACAGTGCGCTTTTTAACATACCAGGTGATCAAAGGCGTATTATGAATAACAAATGACAGGATGATGAATAACAAATGACAGGAGTTTCACTGCGCTATTTGAGAAACATGTAAATTTCATATGCTCTTTCCTGTATTTTCTAGCTACATGTCATCACACATGTTGTGGAATACACCCTGCATGTGTACATGAATCAACAAAACATAGTAGGCTTCTCACATAGCACAACAGATTTACCATAACTACCCTCCCCTCACTCTTCTCTGACAAGTATGAGGGTGTAAATGCTATAGTTGGTACTCACTTCACTATCTTGTCTTGGCATATAAAAGTTAGTTGTCAGGTAGATCCTCAACTTCTTCTTTTGCTAAAACAATATGAAACCAAGTTTGAGTGCAGCACTGCTGTCAGTGTGAAGAAACCACTCCCTCACGCTTACTTACCATTCATTTAAAAAATAATAAAATGACAGCAAGCGGGTTGTAGTGCAAGCAATAATGAACTTTTATATTGCAACTCTGATGGAGGTGGACAGAAGCCACCAAAAATTCAGAAAAGAAAAACAACAGATCGGATTGCACAAAAGACTTACATAAGGTATGAGTAATTTACTTGTTAGATGTACGACCGAGAAAACACAATTTGGCTGAGTAATTTTAGCAAAGTTGCTATGCTTCATGGAATGATTGTTTTTGTGGCTATTTTAGTAATGTAAACAACACCTGCATGAACTTAAAAGTTTCATTTTGATATTCATACCTTCATTGGTCTTTTCAAAGCTTCCTGGATGTCTAATCTCTTACGCATAATGGTAGCATCCAGCTTCCTTTCAAATGCAAGCAGATCCATGTATGCTTGGGATTCTGGTACCAGGTCACGGACCTTTCACAGATGTAACAATCACAGTAGTAAAAAATCTTTTCTACAGAGTGACATTAAGGTACATTGCTCAATGAAGATATTACACTCACCCTTTGTGGCAAGATCTTGTCTGCCATTTTCTTCTTTCTGAAAAAATGAAAAACATTCCAACCTATTATGCAAGTGAAAGTGTTCCTGATCACCTCCAAGGCCATAATTTATCCACAAAGTTCTACACACCGCAGGCTGGAAAAGCAATTTTCTATTTATCTCTTGTTAAAATCAGTCGCAAGACAGTCTCAGTCATACCTTCTCCTGTTTTTTGCATCCTGCCGTCTTCTTGCCTGCTCTATGGCGGCAGCAGCTCCAGGAACCAGTCCTGCTCGGGGTACATTTGGGCCGTAAGCATGCATACCCGATGCTCCCTGCATTCTCATGGCCATGGCAGCACTAGAACTAGTGGCAGGACGCTGAAATAAAGACATGTGAGATGAAATAACTGTCTACCTCTAATTTCAATGTATATATACTGTATCTTACAGTATTAATTATATTGCTTGCAATAATTTCAACGTTCAACTGTCAAGTGAGTTTTCCTTTTCACTACGGTTGGTCTACTTGCTTATGGAAGGTCACCTTCATATTAATTTTGTGCAGTTTTATTCTTCTGAAACTTACCATAGTATATATATATTTTTAGTATTTTATTGATTTTTATTGATTTGAAGTTACTTACAATTTTTTATAAACACACATAATTCATAAACAAACAGACATGGTGCATCATACATTTACATACACACACCTCAGTTTCTCTTAACTCTCTTCTACTCTTAGATATGAGACTAGTACAGTGCAGCAACAGCATACCATAGTATTAGTGTAAACTTCATCTGCCGTATATTACCCAAGACCCAAATCATATATTTGAGGTGAATGTAAGTCACTGATCTTTACTGGTTGTGCTGTCTGCTATGCATATGTACGTATGTATATATAAATACTTTTGAGATTGTATTTCTTGCCAGACAGCATTTAATGTGAATTAATATTGACCTATAAATAGCCTTTTTGGCGCAGACTTCAGCACTTTGGTGAGTCTTGGGCAATTGTGAAATTTTGTCCATGTTTTCATGTACTTCAGCTGACATGAAAAACATGAAAAGCGTTCCAGTTGGCCTGAGATTAGTGTTTTGCCCATAACTATAGCGAGTGGGAGTTATGAGCATGTGTGTGTTTGGGGGAAGTCTTCATACAACCGGCAGTTTTACGTATTTTTACAATGACATTTTCTCTCCAACCTCGTGTGGTGTTACGGTAATAAAAGGCTAACTAGAGCAATCAAATATCTAAGTACTCACTGCCATTCCATATGGTGACTGCTGGAACTGAGACCGCTGAAACATAGAGGCTTGTTGTGGATTATTTGCCATTTTCTGCATTGAGGCAGACGCTGGGAAACGAGCCGCCATATTGTTTGAACAAAGTAATCCCACAATGCCATGGTCTTCCAGCATTCTCGGCAACCTTCGTTACAATTCGGTATTCTTTCGTAAGTTCCGAGATCTCCCGATGTCTATGACGCAGACAACGCGGAAGAAGTTGATTGTTTTCCTTGTGTCTTGGAGGAGAAGTGTAAAACTTCTGTACCCAATAACGTTGATGTCAATCTAAAACTATGAAGGTTGCTTTTGTTTGCTTGATATTACTGATTGCTTTAACGGAGGTAAGCTCAATCATAAACTGATTTGAGTTTTCTAGCGTTTTGATATACCCAGGTGATATACTCTGTGGCGCAATAAGGTTGCCATGTTTATTAAGGACACTTGAAACAGCAGGGCTTCTCCACAGGCAAGATAACAAGCCAGTGTCCTCGTCTTCATTCTTTCTGCAAAAGGCAGGAAAAGTCTAAAAATTGCGAGAACATTAATTATCGGGAGAGACATCCAGCTGGGCAGTGTCAGGGACGCATAGTTCAGTTGCCATGTTGTTTTCGATTCGACGTTGATGACAGCGCGCGCAGCTGCGCAGCTGGTCTTAAACAGTCATTATGAAGTGATTACCACTTTTTGCTAGCGCTTGGAAATTTTATTAAAACATTATGAATTATACCGATTTGTGCAAGTCTCAACAAATAGTAAAGGGTATCTGTAAAAAGCACCAAACTGTGTCAGAGGGGTTCAGGGATGTGGGAAGCTGTCATGAGTTGATGTTGTATTTTTCAGTCATATGGCTACAAGAGATGCACCTATACGAGCTATAGTTACGCGCTGCGGAGAAGCGTCACTTACTATTATAGGTAAAGTTTGATAAATCTTTGGTTGATTGTTTAGTCATTTGTATTTCGAGAGAATTGTGGAAGAATGATATTGGCAATGGTTCAAATATCTTGCCAACAGATAGTTGTTTAAATATACGTGTGTTAATCATTGATAAATCAGACTTTCATATAGGGAAGTTCGATTGTAATAATTTTGTTTATGTCTGGATTTATGAAAATGGTGATTATGAAAAGTTCACCCTATTCAAAGAGAAAGTAGGTGATATAAAAATTCAAAGGGGGTGTCAGTCTTTTTTCCCTCCTTTTTTTTCATTGATTGCAGTGATTTTTGGTACAAAGGGACCGACTTTTCATTTACACTGTTTTTATTACTTTGGTCATATCTTATATAAATACATAACTGTAATTTATGTCTCAACACTGGTTGGAATATTTTTATTTAATATAATTGTCATTCCTTTTCCAAAAGCTGCTCCAGCAATGCTTACTGTTGTGGAAATCGCAGCTGCTGTACATATGTGTATGCGAGGTGGTATCTATGGTGAGTGATCCAGAGTAAGAAACTGTTTAAGAATTAATATAGTGGTCAACTTCCATGTAAAATTGAAAGGGTGACTGTCGTATCTTTTAGTGTTTCAAATTTGTGGTTTGAGCACTGTGATGGTTATAGCGTGTTTACAACAAAAACGAACAACATTAAGGGTGGAAAAATTTGTCAAAAAAAATTGGTGCCCCATAGGTGTACATTGAAATGCATTTATGCTTGGCCAGTCAGAGCAAGAACCAAACTGCAGGTTAACCCATTAAACTAGTTATTTTCAATACTTCTGACAATTATCAAGGTTGTAAAATAGATTGTTTAAAAGAGTTCCCTCCAAGGCATATGACATGGCCAAAGAAGTAATATTTCTTTATTCTTGCCCAAACAATTTTCCCTTCACTTCCATTTTTTTCACCACCCAGAAACTGAGTACTGGCAAATTATGAGTAGCTACATATAGCCTCAGGGTGTGATCTGACATAAATTTTTGTGTTCCCGGTGATTAGCACACCCCATTTAAAAGTAGCAGCTATATTTAGTTACTTCATGCCCTAGAATTCAGAGTGAAGTGTGAGCCAGAGAAACTGTTCAGGCTTGTAGACAGACAAACAATCCCATGCGCTGGGGGAACTCCCATATAAAGGACAGGGTGCTTGTTGTACTGTTTAGGGGTTAGTACCTAATGGGGTGTTCAGGCTCAAAAGATCCACAGCGGCAGCTTTTGTGGTACCTTTTAGGGTACTGAGCCGAAAAAATATGATAGGAGATATTTGAAAATCAATTGACTCAATTTTTAATTTTATCTCAAAATTGGTCTGTCTTATGGGTGAAAAAAATTTCAAGCCACACCCACAAAACAGGATCTTGGTACCTCTTAGGGGTTCTTTTCAAAATTTCTGATGAGCTCCCCACTCCATTTTATATGGGAGACCTCCCCCTGGGGGTTAAAGTACTTGACTGTACAAGTATTAAATTCTCAGAACGTTAGCTAAAATGTAATTAATTTAATTTTGCAGGTTCACTGTGGTAACATTTGGTGTCATTGTGTTCATTTTCTGGTGGTACTATCGCTATCGTTATCGCCCACGCCAGGTCATTGTTGCATCAACATCCCCTGGAGTCGTTACTGCTGGAAATGTTAATGTGACGAGGGTAAATGCCCCTTACCCTGTGTATTCTCAGTCGGGACCAGTCACCATCATGCCAGGTGGTTCAACTGTGCATTATACAGCATATCCACCACCAAGTTACGCCTTTCATACCCCACCACCAGCCTACACTAGCACTAGTGTAGTAAAGCAAGGCACAACAGTCATGACCGGCACTTCTACTCACTAGATTAAAGCCATAAGAATATAAACCCTTTACGTTCAGTGTCAAACCTCAGTTGAATAGACTGTTTTCGATATATTAAAATTCAGCTTCGTAGTGAGGCCTAGAGGACCCAAACGAAGGGAATTGAATGACATGCTTATTCATTTGATTTGTTTGTGTCCTCCAGGCCTCACTGTCAAGCTGAATTTTATTTTGTCGAAAGTGACCTATTAAGGTGGCTGAATACAGTTTTGCATAAATTATTTGCTTTTACATCTAAACTGTTGCAGCTAACATGCTCAACATTACCTTTCTACAAGATAATTAAGCTTCTTAGAATAGGAGATCCTATTTAAAAATGGCCCTCAAGGGGAGCTCTTAGTAGAATAAGGTGTTAAATCAAAATATTATGGTGCATAGACTACATGCTAAGACAAAACATTTCATATACCACAGACTGTTACAGTTTTACAAGAAAAAAAGCATCAAGTTACATTTTGCAATCCATCTGAAACAAAAAAAATAATGCATACACAGTTTTTTTCTTCTTGTGATGATGTATTTTGCAATTTAAATTCTTTACTACATGTATATAACTCCCCCTTCCCCTCAAATAAATTATTTGTAGATCTAATCAGCTACCTTCTTGGTCCAGAGAGTAATATGTTGTACTATAAAATATAGGCTGCACTACTGACATAATGACTTTCTTGTAAAAGTTATTTTTATTTAGAAATTATGTAAAATTATATAAGTTGGTATGGATATTAAATGTTTTAATTAGTTTATAAAATATATCACACTAGCATTTTGATGTACATGTATTTTATGGTAATATGTGCATGTGCTGTGTACTGTTTTACATAATAAAGTGGTACAATAAAGCATATAATATGCTTTTAAAATTGACACAGCTGTCATCAAGCTACGAATTTGTTGCAAATGTACTTACTGAAATACAGTTATAAGTTATTGTGAATAGTTAAGACAATTTAAAGACAGTAAGACAATAATTTGGCTTTAAGTGTAACAAGCTAATAAACCAGCTCTGTAATGTGAAATTTATAATACCTCTAGACCTCCCATAACACATGGGATAACTGATTTCCTGCAGTCCAATACTTTATAGTTTAAATTTCTTCTTTCAGTCTTCCAGTATTGATCAGTGCTACATTGCACAACATTGCATTTTCAATAATAATTACATTTCCCTTGATATATACCTGGCCTGCATCGCAGACACTACCTGCTGTGGGTTAATGACAGGTAAATGTCCATCCGCCTGCAACTAAGAATTCTTAATACCTTGTGAACACTATTCTCTTGTTTGGTCAATTGT